GCAGTCACTTTGGGGTCAAAATTTAAGTATTTTAAATATTTCTCCTTCTAGCATGTATTTATACTGGAGACAGTCATTTCCCTCAGAGTTCTGTTGTCAGGTGCTGCCCAAGTAAAAAAAAGACATGAAAATCTCTTTTTCACAGTCCAGATTTCTCTGTTCCTCCTGTCTCAGTAGGAAGACAAATTTGGGCTGGCTTCAAGGTGAGCTCTGCCCCTCTGTGGCACAGTCTCTGGCAGGTCCAAAGTGCTAACTGGCCCACGGTCACCTGCTCAACATAACTGGGAAGGAGGACACCAAGGCACCTGGCCTGTTGGTCAGACCTCAGTGTGTCTGCAGAAATATCCAGGCTCTGTCTGTGCTCACTCTGATTACCAGAGCAGGGCAGAAGTGTTCAGGCCTGCAGAGTCTCACTGGGGTGGGACAAATGAGCACCAGATCCTGTTGAGCTCTGCAGCTGTACCCCCCATGCAGACCCCCTCTCCACAAATCTCCACACAGCTGAATTCTAAATGGTGACAGACTTTCTACTTCCTGCTGCTTTTCTTTTTGTTTCTCCCCTGTGCCCAGTTCACTGTGCCTGCTGTCCGCTGGGTTTCACACCATCTGGCCATTAACCTGAGACTCCCCAGCCTGAAGTTCAGCTTCCTACCAGTCAAGCACTAGAAGGCTTCCCTCCATCCCATTATTTTAGCTCTTCTGTGTCACAGCATTTTCATGGGCCCTCACTTGCTGTTGGGCATGTTGTGCTTGTTGTTGGCACTGTTTCCCACCTGGAGATATAAAAGAATGGGGATCTTCTGCTCTCCTGTACCCTGTCCCAAAGCAGAAGGAGATAGATCAGGCAGCTCCTGACCACAGTCCTCCTTGCTCTGCTGAGGCAGCCACAGGGTTTCTTGGAAGGCTCCCTGACCAGACACTCTAAGCACAGATGAACACACTGGGAATGTTCACTCCTCCCCCCATTCACCAGGGGAACTCAGATATTTTTTCTGATCAGGCTATATCTCTATCCAGTAGCAAAGTCCACACTCCCAACTATATGCTGTGGTTTTTCTCTTCCTGCCATGTGGTGGAAAAGTTCCCCTGAGGAATGTTTCATTCGGGGCCAGTGTGTGTTAGTCCAGTTACTTTACTTATCTTACTAAATACCACTGTTTCTGGGTTTCATGTGGGTACTAGCTCACTCAACCTTCAAACTACTGTTTCCCAATTTCTCCTCTCCTTCCAGAGGCACACTCCTGATGGTTTGGACCAGATTCCTGCAGCATCTTGGCAGAGCCAGCTGCCCATGAGGTGCTGTTTGAAAGCTCCAGCAATACAATATTCCAACTGTGATCTCCATCTGGGGAATATATTATGCTTCATTTTTAAATTCTCATTAAACCAGTTTTTAGTTTTAGAATTTTCTTTAATCTCATGTTAGCAGTTAAAGTAAAAAATAAATACATTACAATCAAATTCAACACTGAAGTACAGCCAGTAATAAAGAGTGGGAGAGATGGAGATACCCAGAATTAGACGTCAACATAAATGTTACCACAGCACTGATCAGTGGTGGTGTCTTGACATCTCGATTGAATTCATGTATATGAAAGAAAAATACCTTAAAAATTATGTACATTTATATATGTATTTTATATACATATATTTCCTTCATTTTATATATATATATATGGAAATGACTATAAAATGAAAAAGCAATTGCTGTACAATGACTAACTGATTTTTATATATCAGATGTTATTGACAATTCAGATATCTATGATCATTATTTTTTATTTTCTAAAAAACAAAATTTCATAACAAAATAATGAGAGAATAACAGTCATCAATGCACAATGTATCATTATCTTCAAAGCTGTTACTCAGAACACAAGACAGACAAAAAAGATTCTCTCTTACAAAGAAGAAACATAATAGCACAAAACTTTTAAGATTGTGAATTTTACAGGAATAAAAGTTTTTAAACGTATATAAGATTAAAATCAGGACCATGGGGAAGGTACCTATTATCCTCCACTGTTCTCCTAATTGCTTTCTTCTCCAAAGTCCAGAGAGAATTTCAGACAAAACTTTGATCCAATCCCATGAAGAGCATAGTAAAACTCAAGGTGACATTGTTGCCCCACCTTGCCATGCACACTTAACCTGTCCACACCCACCAACTCACCAGGTGTGGCTGCAGGGCCATCTGAGGGGAGCTCACCACACAGGCAGAGAGTGTTTCGGGAGCAAAGGGTAGCTACTTCTCCAGACTCATGGATCTGCTGCTGAAACTTTCTGCTAGTCCTTGATTATATTTCATAGTTTTTCTATATCATTTATTTTCTTGAGAAAAGAAAATGTGCTTTCTTCTTAAAGCTTTCATACAGCATTTACTTATAACATTTCTTTACTGTGGTATAGTAAGAAATAAGCATTTGATTTCCAGCTATTTCTGAACAAACCAATACATGTTTCTCCTTTATATTTAGATGCTCATATGATGTATTTGTTTCCTGAGGCTGAGCTTTTACAGAGAGAACGTGACAGTTGCACTCCAAGAGGGGACAACATTGGAAAGTTACAGTAACGGAAGAAATATGGGACTCAATCATATTTATGTTTCTCTGAGGAAACTGACAGTGCTTGGCTGAACATAAAATGTGGACTACACTGGAGGATGGTATTTCCAAGAGGATGGGAGTTTACTGCTTAGTATCCCACCTTTGGGCTACACATGAGACTTTCCTCAGTTTAGTTCTTCAGTGTTAGGCAAATACCTTGAGAACCTGACTTTGAAATCTGTGAGGGAAAATAAGGTAAGTAACTGACAGGCACTTGGGGAAGAAGAAACATGGGGAAGCATTAGAACTCTGCCCAAAATGATGATGTCAAGTTCAAAGAGTGGTTCAGTGTCACCTTACAGCACCATTACTTATCCCCCCAGTTAACCATGCCCTAAGTGGTGTAGTTGAAACTCAAGGAGTTGGACAGAGAAGAAGAATGAACAGGTAGATCAGTCCCCATGAGTGACAGAGATACAGTATCCCCTGGTCGGTCTGGTGTCCACGGTGGCTGTTGTGTGGCTTCATGACCATGAATTCCCCTGAACAAGGAGCAGCAGAGATGTTCCTAACACACCTCCACCCTCATCTGCCTCCTGCTCCCTTCTGCTCACTCAGGAAACAGCACCTGGGGATCACACGCTGCTCACTACTTCATACTCAATCCACTCAGTGCACAAATACAGATTATATCAGAAGGTGTGCTCTGCAGTTTCTTGGGAAGTTTTTAAATTTCTACAGAGCTTTGTCTTCTTCTGACTGTGGAGGGAAGATTTGATGAGCAGGAAATTGCATCATATTCTATCTGACATCTATCTATCCATCCTCTATCATCTTATCTGTCTTCTCAATGTGTCTCGGGTTTTGGATATTTATATCAGTGCATCAGTGTGTCATCTACTGCATCATCACCTCGGAACATGATGCTGGTAGTGAGCTGAATATCTGACCTAATTTCTGAAACTATTACAAGGTCATAAAATGTATTTGAAACCTGTACTTTTTGAAGCAATCATGCATGGAGACAGGTGATGAGGCCAGAAGAGGAACAGGCAGCTGGAACATTTCAGTGTTGCTTAGTTTTCCTCTCTGCTCTCCATTTTCCAAGAAAAATTAATTACGGCACTTAGTGAAACCTATAGTGATTGCAAAAACAGCCAAAGTCTTGTTTGGTAAATACCAGAGACTCCCTAAATTCTATTTCTTTCATTCTGAGATTTAACGCTAATGGTAAGAGCTTTATGGAGATGAACTTTTAGGAAAATACATATTCTAGACCAAAAAAGGGATTATCCATGAAGCTCTATTTAATCAGGGTTACATTAATGCACATGTCATACATTTGTTTATATATACAGGTTCATATTAATAAGTATATATCAATAAATTTATACATGTATATAAAATAAGCAAATATATAAACCAGAAAGATTATCAAATCCAAATTCCTTTTTAAAGATGAGATGCATGCTTGACTTCTTTATTTGCAGATTTTTCTCACAGTACTCTGAATACCAAAGTATTGAATGTATAAAGACTTACACATAACATAAGAGTAGTAACAGCCATCTCTAAGATCACCTCTGCAGAATCTAGTGTAGATGTTAACCCAAAGCATGCATGTTTATTCATTTGTGACTAGCACTCATCTGAGAGCTTTTCTTACATTGCCTCACCTAATCCTCACTATGTCTGAAGTCAAATATTATTTTCTTTCTCTTTAAGGAAGAGTGAATGGAAGATGGGAGGAGATAGGGGCCAGCTCAAGCTGAGGCTGACATCTGGCCAGAGTCTGGAACCCTAATCCCATGACCTTTAGGTCTCCAGGTTCCAGGCCTGGTGAGGGTCCCACCCTGCTCGTGGGAATGTGAGCATCATTCCACACAAACACAGGTCCTCATGGAATGGCTTGGTCCTATGGGCAGAGGGAGTTTAAATGTTCAGTGTGAAATTCACACACACACATTATATTTCAGTTATTTTAAATATGTCATATTTAGAACATACATCAGTGTATTTTAATACCTAATCTTAAAAACATAACGATTGGATGTGTTTCCTACTTCAGTAATGAAAACTCAAGGAATAAGAAATTAGATTTCTCTTACTGGCAATGATTTTGCTGATTATGTTAATAGAGAGCAATGAGTTGGTAAACCTTCTGTACTTGTTGATAAACTACAGTGTCATCAAGAAGTTCCTAACCTTGACATGTTGAACTTCACTATCAGTTACCAATTAATTTGAATAATGATGGTGAGATCTTAGCTTCTTTTCACTTGTTGAGACACAGGTAATGCATGTATATCCATCAGGACCCAGGCCTGTGGGGCTGCCTCTGGTTGTGCAGTCAGGTTCGTGCATATGACTCCAGGATGCTCTCTAAACAGTCTTCCAGAGGGTCATGTTACATTAACCCCCAACTTCTCTTCCTGGTCCAGGTGGAACCCCATGGACAGCCCCAACTGGATGCCCAAGTACACTACATGGGTAGATTTCATCCTGGTGGGGCTCTTCCCTCAGTCCAGACACCCAGCTCTGCTGTTCCTGGTCATCTTTGTGATGCTCCTGATGGCCTTGTCAGGAAATGCATTGCTGATCCTCCTGATATGCGCCAACACCTGCCTTCACACCCCCATGTACTTTTTCATCACCCAGTTGTCCCTCATGGACATGGTGTACATTTCCACCACTGTCCCCAAGATGCCCATGGACCAGGTCATGGGTGAGAACAGGATCTTGGCTCCTGAGTGTGGGAGGATGCAGATGTTCCTCTACTTGATGCTGGCAGGTTCAGAAGTTTTTCTTCTGGCAGCCATGTCCTATGACCGCTATGTGGCCATCTGCCGTCCCCTGCATTACCACATCCTGATGAACCACAGAGTGAGTCTCCTCCTGGCATCTGGCTGCTGGTTCCTGGGGTCTGTGGATGGCTTCATGCTGACCCCTGTAACCATGACCTTCCCCTTCTGCCACTCCCGGGAGATCAACCACTTCTTCTGTGAAGTCCCTGCTGTGATGAAGCTCTCCTGCTCAGACACCTCGCTCTATGAGGTGCTCATGTACCTGTGCTGTGTCCTCATGCTCCTCATCCCCGTGACAGTCATCTCAAGCTCCTACACCTGCATCCTTCTCACCGTGCTCAGGATGAACTCATCAGAGGGCCGGAAGAAGGCGCTGGCCACCTGCTCCTCCCACATGACCATAGTGCTTCTCTTCTATGGGGCTGCCATCTACACCTACATGCTTCCCAGCTCCTTCCACACCCCTGAGAAGGACATGGTGGTGTCTGTGTTCTACACAATACTCACTCCTGTGCTGAACCCCTTAATCTATAGTCTTAGGAATAAGGATGTCACAGAAGCTCTGAAGAAAATGTGCAGTGTGAGACCTGCCTTTCACAACATGGTAAAATAGAGAATGCATGTACTCATGGGTTCATTTCCTTCTCTCTGCTCATCAGAGATTTAGGGTTTTATGGGACCATTGTTCCTCAGACTTTCACATCATGAGGTCTCTGCTCACATCATCCCTTTTTAAGGAATTGTTTTACTGTTCCTGAATGTTCTCCATCTGTGTCCTCTTTGTCCACTCAAAACCCTTGTTAAATTGTGTCTTATTGATGCTATGTTTTCTAACGTTGATAACTGCTCTTTAACTATAGGAAAAATGTTGTTCATATTGTTAGGAAATACATGATAGACTATTTAGAGGAAATTGTCATAAAGTTTACAACAGATATGGGAAACAGAGAGAGGGAGAAACGGTAGAGTATAAGGGGATGCAATATTAATAATGAGTGAGTCTAGTTATTTGTATCTGAGATTCATTGTACTATCATTTTCATGATAATTTATGTAAACTTGAAATTATAGCCAAAACACCATCCTGCTGCAGGGTCTCAAAGCCTTACATCCATCTTATTATAAACAATGAATTTAGCCCATCTCTAAGAGTTGAAAAGTCTTAACAGTTCCAGCAAAGTCCAACTCCAAACTCTCCTCTGCTACTCAAAGTAAATGCTTAGTTATGAACCTGTATAACACAAAATAGTTAAATGCTGGTGATATATAGTGTACATGATAAACATTCCCATTCCAAAAGGAAGGAATAAAGAAACACGCCAAAGTAAGACTAAACCCAAGGAGAGAACACCTTAAATCCTGAAGTTCTATGTCCAGCATCTGGGCCAAGCTGTGTTGTGACATAAGCTCCAGAGAACTTGGGCAGCCCTGACTTTCTGTTATTGCCAGTTGTAGCATACAGGTGCCTCAGTACACACCCATGGCTTTCCTCAGCAGATCTTACTCATTTCTGAGGTCTCAAATTTCCTGGGCTCTTCACTGCACTATTGCTTTCAGTCTTATAGCTTCACACACTGCCCTCTGAGGGTGCGTGCACACTGCCTGGCCTCCCAGGCCTTCTTCTGAAATCTGTGCAGAAACCTCCATGACCCCATAACTCTTGCATTTGGATACCTATATAACCAGCAACACATCAATGATGCCAAGGTCTGCTATCAGTTATGGCAGTAACCAGCCCACCTTGGACCATGCATGCAGCCTTTGAGTGTCTCAGCATATAAGCACTGTGAAAAGAATGCAGAGAACCAATTCCCTAGGTGCCCTTCCCAAGCAGAAGGCCAGGGGATACACTTCATTAATGAAATGTTACAGTTTCACACTTTTAATCTGAAAGATGGGGTTTTTCTGATTCCTAAGATGCTTCTAAGCCATCTTTCCTACAGTCCTGGTGCAAACTACTTGGTTTCTTTTTAATGCAGATATTTTTTCAACATCAATGGTTTTCTTTGCCCCAACTTTTCAGGAACGTCCTTTTGAGCAAAACAGAAAATGATTCAAACAGTGTAGTTCTGCCATTTACTCCTGATTTTCACTGGAGATTAAGCTAAAAGCAATGCTGGGCCAACTCAACATTTCTTCGGTTAGATTAATTAGTCTACTGCAAATTAATCTCCATCTCCAACTATGTCTCCAGACATGAGCAAAATGGAGCCAATTTTTCTGCCAGAGCATAACACATGACCTGGAGTCCAGCTGTCAATGGAGTCCTTGTTCCTAACCGAAACCTCCTTAGCCTGGCCTCCTGAAACTGTGTGCTTTTCTAGCAGCATGCTGGCCTTCAAATATCTGATGAGAATCTCCCATCAAACTCAGCTCACAACATGCTAGGTCTACCAGGCATCTCCAAAACTTTCCAAATTCCCTTTGAGAACTAGGACTCTAGGCTTCTGTATCGCATGGTCAGATACAGTCATAGCAATGATCCCTCTACTCTGGTACTAGTATCTGTCTTATCACTTTCTTGTCATTGGATAATATACCCAACAACCACACATCAAAAGGCTGAGGTTTATTTAGACTTATGATTTCAATCCACACTCTGAAGACTCCCAGCCAAGAACAGGATGGCAGTTTGATAGGGCAGAATAAAGGTGCTCAACTAATAAAAGCCATGAAGCAAAGAGAAGAAAAGAATGCAGAGATGAGAATGCACCCTTTCAAGTCATAACCCCAGTGATCTGCCATGCCCCAGCTCCAAACATGAGAAATTAGGAGTCATTTTAGATCAAAACCATAATAACAACTCAATCATTTTTTAACTCAGTAATTTTTAAACAAATAACTGCATGATAATGTTGATCTGAATTTATTTTATTATTGCATATGAAAAAACTGAATCTGTGATATCATTTTAAATAGTAAAGCCAGATGAACAACTGGGACATATTTATTCAAATATCACTTTTATGCAATATTACATTCTGAGCCATGCAACGATAAATGAATGAAATAGAACCATGGAAACTGAGAAACTTAGTTGAGATAATGCCTCATATAGTAGAATTAACTTTTTAAAACAAAATCAGGGTGTCTGCAGAGCAAGAATACATATCAATTCAAGAGCATGACCAGGGACCTTGAAGAGGTGTCCTAAATTCAACTGAATGATCTGACCACCTCTTGCTCATGGGCCTCTAGCTGCTGTCACCCTGCACTGGACTCCGGAGCTGTCAACTTCCACAGCAGAGCTGTTGTTCTGTTTCCCTCACATTGAATGATCAGGCTCTACATCTTTCTTCTACACTGCTCTCCTCAGTTATTATAACCTGATAGCTTTACTCATTTACAAAATTTATTGTCTGCAAAACTTTAATCCTTATTTATTGGCACATGTACACAATTGCTGTGTCCTTCTACCATAAACCTATTACTGTATCCAAGCAGAAAATTTCTCTTATTTATATTTCTGCATCATTGCTAAATGCCTGGTACATGACAGACACAGAATAAATACCTATGAATTTGTTATTGTTTTTAGAGGACAAAGTAAGCCTTTCATCTATTTCTTTTTTAAATCAATTTTTCTGGTATATTTGCAATTCAAAAAATCGCATCCATCCTAGGGATTTTGTATCTGTACATATTATATCTTAATTCTTTTTTCCCACTCCCTGCCCCTCCCTACCAACTCCTCTCTGAATTTACAAAACTTTGTTTCCATTTTTTCTTTTCATTCTTTCTTTTTATTCCTGTTACTTTCTTTTTTTCTTTTTTCTTTTTTTTTTTTTTTTTTTGGTACCAGGGATTGGACTCAGGACCTTGCACTTGCAAGGCAGGTGCCGGAACCACTGAGCTAAATTGCCAGCCCATATTCCCGTTTCTTTCCCTCCCTCCTCCCCTTCTTCAATTTTCATTTGAATGGTTTTTTTCCTACTTCTCAATATCTAGTTTCCTTGGGTTTCTCAATCAAGAAAAAAATGTGATATTTAAATGTGTGTCTAATTTATTTCACTTAAAATTATGTCCTTAAAGTGCACCCATCTACCTAAAAATGATTCAAATTTATTCCCATCTATGGCTGTGTAGTAATGCATTGTATATAAAAACCACATTTTCTTTATCCATCCATCTGTTGATGAGCATCTGGGCTGTTTCTGAGCTTTCACTCTCACAAATTGGGCTGCTATAAACATGGCCACACATAAATTGCTGTGGTATGATGAGTTTAAATCTTTTGGGAAGATACCTAGAAGAGGACTACCTGGACCAGATGGAACCTCTAATTTTAATTTTTTGAGGAATTTTCATACTTTTTTCCATAATGGTTGTACCAATTTACACTCTCACCAAAGTTGAAGCCAGGTTCCATTTCCCCACAGTGTCACCAATATTTATTATTATTGATTTCTTGATGATAGCCATTCCATCTGGAGTGAGATGGAGTATCAGTGTTGTTTTAATTTGCAATTCAGGAATGGCGAGTGATGTCAATCACTTTTTTATATATTTATTTGCTGTTTGTACTTCTGCATTTGAGAAGTGTCTATTTATTTCAGATATCCATTTTTGGATAGAGTCTTCAAATTTTAAGGATCTGATTTTTTGAGTTCTTTATATATTCTAGACAGTAGTCCTTTGTCTGAAGAATAGATGGTAATGTTTTTTTCCCACACAGAGAGTTGTCTCTTCATTCTGTTGGCTGTTTCTTTTGCTGTGTAAAAGCTTTGTAATACAATATTGTCTCAGTTGTTGATTGTAATATTTTCTGTGCAATCAGGGTTTTCCTATGAACTTGCTACTGAAGAGAACGAATCCCTGTAATTATCCCACAATTTTTTGAATTTTTTTGCCACATTCACAATCTAATTTTCAAAAGAACAACTCATTTTATTTTCAATGAATTGTTTTGTGTTTCATGTCTCTCATATTCTTAATTTCCTCTGAGCAATTTTAACTTTCTAGGAAGAGAG